TGTATGTTCACGACAGTGCCAATATTTCTTTACTGAATCAGTCACATCATGAGTGGGCAGAATCGTTTTCATTCCATAATTCAATGGACAACATCGTATTCAGTGATAGATACATGAATATTTTCCAAGAATAGTGACAGAAAATGGTTTAAATGATCTTGTTACTATTATTATTGATGATCACGAAATATTCGATCGAATGTGTTTATAAAAGGTTACAATAGGAAAAAGAAACCGAAGCTGACTGTGTCATAGGAATATTCGAGGTAGTGTATGAGACATAGGGTTTCATCTCTTGAAGAAAGGTCAAATAATCATCAATTGGTAGTAAGATATGATATTTGGCACTGAGTTCATATTTCAATGATTGATACATTGATTCGCGATTCATCAGACACATTTCATACAGTTGTAAAAGACGATATCCATCAACACGAGGACACAGAAGAAGGAAGGTTTTATCCAAATCGAAGTATCGTAAAAATAAAATCGCCTGATCATGCGTCCATTCAGTGATATAATCAGGTAAATCACTAAAAGATAAATAAACGAAGAAATGTCGTTTCGATCAATACGAAAATCATTTTGAGAAACTTACTCAATTGACTCGGATATGCCTTGAAAAAGTTCGAGACTTTTTGAACCCTTCCGAATCGGATCTTTTTCAATGGCTCTCGATAACGATCGTGTGAGTAAATCATAATGACGTGCACTAATTTCATTCTTCAACTTATTATAAGCTAAATGAAAATCAATTTTACCAAATTCAACATAAATCTTTCCACTAACAATGATACCAAGCCATCCATCAGGTTTATAATTCGATTCAATAAGAATAGGAATGAGACGACATTCTCGTTCATAGGCATAGTGAGCTTCCGATTGACAATAAACACTTTGTTTATAAGTATTAGACATACAAATGAGAACATGTTCGGAATTTTCAATAGCATTCGCAATACCAATCATTGTTGGTCCGCGTAAACAATCTCGATCTAACCAAACATTGTAACCATCTTTCACTAATCGATCATGAATTTGAAGACAAACATCTTGATCTTTATGTGAATAACTAATCATAATATCGTATTTGTATAAATTGACATTGGTCGATTTTGCCACTGCTTCTACTTCTTTTTCCAATTTCCAAAGAAGACCTTCAGCTGCTCGTTGTAAATCAGTTTGATTTGAATTGGTTTTACTGGAAAGATTTCGTATATGAGTAATGAAATTTTGATTCTGTCGAAGAATCACAGAAGCATCATTATTAAACGATAGAGCAAGAAGAATTTCCAAAACGATGAGTTGTACTTTAATTGGATCAAAACGAGGTTCAACAATACACTTGATTAGAATAGTTAAAGCTTGTTGTTTGATTAATTCAGTTTTCACTTGATCATGTTGTACAAAATCTGAACGAAGAACAAAACAGAAATTACAAATCGAAATGGAAAATATTCGATTTACTTTTTAAACTATCTAAAAGACTATGAAATCGTCGTGTTTGTGCTCGATCATCGATCGTTCTTGTGATGAAGTCAATATAAACACAGGCAATTTTACTTGGATTAGCCATTTTTTTAATATCATCTTCTCGCATTAATTTTCCTAAACAACGATAAGCATTCAATTGAATTTCAACATGATCAACTTCGGTCATTTGTAGAAGCATTGGGATCAATATTGGCATTGTTTTCATATAATTGAGAACATTTAAATGTAATGTAAAATTATAAAGCATTTGAAGAATTGTTCGTGTTGCTGATGTATTGATTTTATTTGATGGAAAAGATAATGTTGAAGATAAAAATAAAA